TATTATATTGTTTATTATTAAATGATATTATAAATTTTTTCTTATGTTATTATTATTATTATTAAATGTTAGAATAAAAAAAGGATTAGATTATAATACTTTACTACTTGGTCTTTTGATGGTAATAAATTTATTTAGGAGCTTCTCGTTATAAGAAAATACAATCCAATGTACTGGCTCGGGTACAAAGCAACCCCTAATAAGGCATTCGCTTTATCATTTCGCGGCTCCATTTTGTTAGCTGAACTATCCACGTATTTTGCCAACTGACCCCAAAAACATGGCCACAGAGTTCAACAACCTGGCGCCATATCCCCAATGGAATAGTCTCTGATGAAGCTGTTTTTGAGGGAGCTTATCGAAGACACACATAAACATAAACACACACACACACAGCCACTCACACACATAGGAAAGCAATAATCATAGGCCTAAGATTTACTAATAACAATGATATAAGACATTTGCGCAAATGAGTATATAATAAAGCTAATGGAAAATTATGGAGCGCTCTTTAGGGGTGCGCGGGAATGGCGCTGAGATACTGGCGCCGCTTTGTTTCCAGTCGAGTGGGTGTGGCTATATGACTGCGGAGAAAACTAAATATATATACAGCGCATAATTTATATATGTGGCTTTTTAAAGGGAGACTTAGCTGGGCTGAATGGGATGAATTTCAGTTCAGGCACATTTTTTATACCTCTTATCAATAATGCAATGGAGAGCCATATAATTGATTAAATTTACCTTTAGAGATATTTATGTAGCTGCCATTAGAAATTAAATGAACGAACTTTTAATGTTTATTACCAGCACATATTGCAACTAAACCTTTTTGCTTGCCATTGCAGGACGGCAGGTAGCTGGTCTCTGGACCTTAATGGCCTATTAAGGTGTTTGGGCTCGTGTTTTGGGCCTGCGATTTAAATGCAATTAAATTGAAATGTCTGTTTTTTAATACGCTATAGAAGTGATTAAAATAGGGTATAGAGAAGTTGTTGCGATTGTATAAGTAAGACGATTTGAGCTCTTTATTTAGTTAATGTTGGCAAGATCAATTACGTGAACTCGGGAATAAGAATGTATTTTATATGAATAAAGATAGATTCTACTTAACAGTATTATGTGCTTTGGCTGAAACTTGCCTTGTCGACAATTTATAAAAATTTTTTTAAAAATAAATAAATAAAGTATAACTGGTTCCCCCAACAAATCAGAATAAATATCCCATTTAAATATTAAATAAAATCTACTAAGCTGTGCTTTGGCTCCTCTATACTTCTACAGGGTATCTGCCGGTCGCGCACATGCCCTGAGCGCTTTAACTGTTTTCGGACACACTTTATGGCCACAGCAATGGCTCAAAAAGGGCTGCCGTGCACTTCAATTAAAATAAATGAAATTGCGCGCCACCTCAAAAAAGCAACAAAAATAAATAAAATAGTGGGAGTGGAAGGGGCGCTGAGAGGGGGGGATGGTTGCTCGTAAAAGCATTTAACACATTTAATGACCGCCCGCTCATCGATGAATAGCAGCCAACATTTGTTTATGAACAATAATAACTTTTCACTCATTTAATTTAGCTTCAAGCTGGAAAAATACAATGCGTCACGCCCAACGTTTTAGCGGTTTTTGTGACGCCCACACACACACACACACACACACACAGGGAGAAAATGTCAACTTTTTGCCAACCGAAAATTGTCAAATGCACAGAATTTTATGCCATACGCCATACATTTATGTTGATGCGGTTGCAAAGTTTTTTAATTACATTTGCGCCCCCCACTAGCTGGCTTTCAACAACGCCCCTGTGTTTCAATCTACCATAGAAATTATGTGTATATACATATATGTATATTTAATGCTTTATGATTGTGTGTGAAAAACTCATTTAATTTCGTAACAATTTAGAAATGATAACATGCATACATTTCTTATCAGCATGCAAATATTTTAACATATTATACAGAGGCTTTTCAGCCTAGGTGTATATTATTCTATGTATATATTCTAGGCACATTAACTTTAAAACTAATATATATGCGCTGGTCTAGCAATATTTTGCTTATATGCCATTAAATTTGTGCTGCCTTTGGCAGGCCCAACTGAACCGCAACCCACTTGTCACGCGCTTGTCAATCAACCCATCAGTTGGGGGCCCAAAAGCAAACGTTCTTTGCACAACTTGGCTACTTATCAGCCTGGCACATTGGATGTGGAAAACTAATTGCTGAAAGGCTGCTGCTCCTTGAGCAGTGTAGATTATGTAAAGCCCGGCTGAATGACAGCAGCATATCCTCCATCTCTAACCCTGAATCATAAAAATGTTTAGACAACACACATGCACACACACACACACACACACCCACACAGAGAGAGAAAGCTCATCATTCATTTGAGCAAGTAAACATGGCCAAATGAAGAAAATGCCTGCTTAATGTTATCAGCCGCATGCGATCTAATGTGACCCAAATATATATATACAGAATATATATGGTGAACGGTTGGGCGGACGTGGGCATAGGCATAAGTAGCTGCTGACCAAGGCAAACAAATTTAAAGCAATCTCATTGGAGCTTTGGCAACTAGGTCGCATGATTAGCCTGGATTTTTGGCCAATTTTTCAAGAGAAAGTTGTAGTTAGCTGTCTGTCGAGGGACTTTGCAACTAGAATATGCCCTGCAGACAGGTGCCAGTCGAAGGACTATCCAATTGAAAGATGCCCTGTAGACAGGTGTCTGTCGAGAGACTATCCTACTAGAAGATGATCTGCAGACATGTCTAGACACATTCACTTAGACTCATATTATCTTCCAACTAATAATATATTCTTAAATATCATCCCTATTGCTTACTGATTAGTATTTACTTTTAATGATAGGTTTATAATATATTTAGCTACCAAATTTGTTTGACGTCCATTTAAAACGTACACAAAATTTGGAAACTAGACCAACTTCTTCAGTCAAGCTATGCAATAAGAAGATGCTCTGCAGACAGGTACCTATCGAGAGACTATCCTACTAGATGATACTCTGCAGACAGGTCTAGAGTAGCCCTAAACACATTCACTTAGCTGCTTGCAGAAGCTAAACTGTTGTTCTCCTACAACAAATAAAAACAAATATTCTTAAATATTGTTCACCCGATTATTATGCACTTTTAATGAAAGTTATATAATATCTTCATGTATACGTGTACCAAATATTTGACAATGACCTGTAAAATCTTGTAGAAACTTCCTCTGTCAAGTCTCTGCAATTGGAAGATGCCCTGAAGAGAGGTATAAGGTAGCCCTATTCATACTCACTTATACTTAACTTTATTTTCAAATATCAGTTTTGTTATTTACCCGATCAATATACACTTTTAAAGATAGTTAGGCATACGTATACCACATTTTTTTGACCATTTAAAATGTATAATAAATTCGAAATGCATTTTATATAATTAAAAATGTATTCCTGTATACTTAATAATAAGCGATATATGATATCAATGGAACAAGAAATTTTGATATATAATTTTAACAGTTAGACATTGATTAAGAATATGCAATATGCTTGTAGATAAAGGATCGAACATCTATATCATATAGCTGCCATGGGAAAGAAGGTTCTTGTTTGGATAACTCCATTGTTTATCTAGATATAGTGACCTGACTATGCTCCTTACATACATGCAAAATCCTATCCTATATCATATAGCAGCCATAGGAACGATCGGTCGAAAAGTAGGGATTTGTGAGGCAAAATATTTTGTTTACGATTATATTATCATCAAACATAACATTAATGAGCTTCACTTTTCTCACATATCTGCAAAACCGTAAGGCAAATGCCTAAAAGGCATTAGTTCTTATTCTTACTTTCTCATTTTATATCAAACATCGCCCTCAAAGAATTGAACCCAGTGCCGCGTTCTACAGTCAATTTCAACATTCATCCTCCCGCTTTGAAAATTTAATTTTTTGTATTCGAGTAAACAAATTAATGGATATAGAAAAAAAAACTAGAATTATTTACAATGCAGAGTAGTTTAGTTTCAGGAAACAATTAATACAAAAAATACAAAAAAATACATTAAAAATCATCATCATTATTACAATTACATTGATAAAAGATAAACTTAAAAAAAATGCAGCAATTGCATTAAAAGTTTTTTGAACGAATAAAAACAACTCGAATAATAACTGCAAAAATCATATAAAAGTGGAGCGCAGCGTAAGCCCAGTCAACAGAACGAATACCAAAAAGCTGCGAGCATAAACTATATACACCATATATAAAATATAAAACATATTCGATTAAAATGAAATTCATAATAGCTTTGCTCGGCTTGGTGACTGTGGCTCTGGCAGCTGATGTGAGTATCAGAGTTAATGTTAATTGACGCGTAAGCCCTGACGATTCTGTCAATCGACGCAGGTAACTGAGGAGCACAAGGCAATAATTCGGCAACATGCCAATGAATGCACCCAGCAGGAGGGCAACACCAAGGACCAGGCAATGGCACTGCGCAATGGCAACTTTGAGGATACCGATGAGAGGATAAAGTGTTTTGCCAACTGTTTCTTGGAAAAGGCCGGCTTCATAGTCGATGGTCAGCTTATGCCCGCTGTGGTACAGCAAAAGCTGACAGACGTTGCCGGAGCTGATCAAGTAAAGGCCGCTCTGAGCGCCTGTGATTCCATCAAGGGTGCGAACAAGTGCGACACAGGATTCCAGATCTACCAATGCTTCTATAAGAATCGCGCTTTTCCCTAAAACCCTATTCTGTAACATTTTTGGGCGCTTGAGTTTCCCATAAATAAAGCTTTAAGAACATCATAAATAATTTCCAAACTATTCGCTTTGGTAACTAGCTCAAGTCTTCTTAGACTTTAGTTTTATTAGGATCCGAAAATAAGCTCTAGAATCTGTACAAATTTGCGTTTATAGTAGGCTCTAAGAAGTAAGTCAAAGCAACCTTCCTAGGAGTTGTACTTTGTTAGTTGTATTTCTCATTATATATTGGGTAACGCTTTCGATCAGAACAAAAAACAGTTCACATCAAAATTTGTAAAAATGTCGGCAAAAATGAACTCCATACAGTTGAGACTTTTAAAACATTTACTAAGCAGAAGCTATCGTAATTCACCATCAAAGCGGGCCATATTTGATGTAGCTAACATGAAAGAATTTGAAAAAAAAGTTAAGCGCTCTAAGTTGCCAGTGTTGGTCGATTTTCATGCCAGGTAAATGCGTTTTCGGATACCGATTGATCATCGATAAATTTTGCAAATCTTTAATCCATCTATAGTTGGTGCACGCCCTGTAAGGCGCTCACTCCTCGTCTAGCAAACATTATATCAGAGCAGAGGGGCCGTCTCCGTATGGCCCGTGTCGATATAGATGAATTTACCGATTTGGCACTGGATTATAATGTGGGTTCGGTGCCGTCACTTCTCGTCATGCACAATGGTAAGGTGCTTAATCGTTTGGTTGGACTGCAGACATCAGACTATATTCGAAATTGGCTCGCTAAAGTGATCAAAAACTGTTCCCCTAACTAGATTTATATATATATTAGTGAATATAAAAAAATAAACGTTGTTTTTCATAATACAAATATCGAACAAACACGTTTTTAATTAATTTTCACCATTTTAACGAGCTGCCGTCTGGCGATTTACCAGTGCAAATATCGGCGCCGGCAATTCAAAATGCAAACAAAGTCTCAGCTCAACTCCTGCTCATTCTCCATTCTCGTGTCTCGCTTCTCTTGTCTCGCCCGATTCTCAAACAAATAAGAGTTGGTTGAACCAACAACAAATACAATGCGTATATCTCGGTGTATTCTCAATTGTTTGCGCTAGCCCAAAAACAACAACGTTACTGAAACTCGCCATTTATCTACGTATCTAGAGATACCCATCCACTGCTCTCTCTGTGTGTTTGTGTGTCCATGTATCTATCCATCTATATTTGCTTTTGCTGGTTATGTGCGCCACTGTTGTCCTGTGCTTGGGGAATACACTCTAATTGATTTTGCTAATGTTGCTTTTTAATGAAGTGTCAAATGTGTTGCTTGGTTGGGGTCTATCTATGTGTGTTTCGGTTAGTGCATAGCCTTCAAGATGCATGTCATGCGAGAACAATGGATAAAGCGAGTATTGAGTCCTTGTGCTCCCCAAACATCATGGAAAATGCAGCGAAAATTGCGTATATGAAATGAGACTAGCTTTCAGCTGAGCTGAAAGTTAAGCTTCTTAGTCTAGTTTTTGTCATGGAACTTTTCGAGATTTTCATGGGCTTCTTAATATTATTGAATTTGCGAAAATTTACAAATGTAATAAAAGTGTAAATGATCTATGTATCTATTCATGTAGCTTCACCCATTCGATGACTCATATAAATGGCATTGAGTAAATACTTATAGATGCAAAAATAGAATTTAGTTGAGCATGTGGCTGCCATTAACCTACGCAGAAATCAAATAGATAAGCCAAAAATAAATCAATCAAATATATATTTTTTATTTTTCAATATAAATCAAATTTAAACAATCTTATCTCTAGTGAGGATAATTATAGTAATTACGCATATAAAATTCTTATTTAGATTCTTTATAATTGGTTACATTTATTTGGAGTAGCCCTATAAACATCCTCATGTCACATTGGCCCATTAGCTCAGCTGGTTAGAGCGTCGTGCTAATAACGCGAAGGTCGCGGGTTCGATCCCCCCATGGGCCATATACGATTTTTTTTTTTTCATTTTTTAATATGAAAATTATTGAATGCAATTATTTATAATTTACTCTTTTTTCCAACACCTAAATACCGGAAATTTTAATAAATAAATAACAATACTTTTGTGCACACTTAAACTAAACCAAATTATTTATGATACATTAAAAATAATGACTATCGTTTAAGCAAAAAATACATGCATTTAGTGAATACACCTTAACTAGCAAATTTTGCGTGCTAATACGTACTTTAAGCTTCATTCTGCATGCATATTATTTTGCTTAAACGCTTTTAGCTTGCAGCTTAATAAAGCAAAGTCTATTGCCTCTTCCTTGTTTCGAAATATTTGCCCAAGGACTCGTTTCATCTATCACACAGCCCGCATACATAATACGACAGACTAATCCTTAACCCTTTTGCCATGCTCACACACAGATTACCATACCCATTTTGCTTGGTTGATTGAGAAGGGAGGCTGTCTAAAGACCGACGACACTTATGGCCATGGCCATAAACAAAATTGAAATTATAAAGTAAAAGTGTGGAACAATTACCCAGCGGAAAAGAAGGAGAGTTACTTTTTTTTGTGTATGGGAAACTGTTTGTGCTGGGCCCACAAAATAGATGTGCCGCAATGTAATTGAGTATTTGTATTCAATTAAGACTTATTTCAATATTTGCATACGTCGAATGCAACAGTCCAGACACTCAATTCGACGCCAGACAACACTCAGTTGCCAGTGTTGTCAGTGTTGCCAGTGTTTCCAGTGCTGGCCAGCGTAAATCCCCTCCATATGCTGGAACATAATTTGCTGAAACGAAACTTGAACAAACAGAAGGGCTGGACTCCAGGAGCAAAAGCAGCAGCAAATCTCTGGGTTTGGTTTTTGAAGCTGGGGTGTTTTTAATCGGCAGGGGGAGTGGTTGGCGAGGGGGGTGGGGGCGGTGTACATCATGTGTGCAAACTGTCTGAATTTGACAGCCCGCATAAAGCGGCCTGCAGACAACTGTGCTGCCGCCTAGGTAAACAGGTAAAAGAGGTGGGCGTGGCTATAAATGCATTGCACATCGCGTGGACTTTTAGTGTATCCGTGTGTGTGTGTAAGTGTGTGTGTGCGTGTGGGTGTGTGTGTGTTGTTTGTTGTACGTGTGTGTTTTATGTCCTCTGACACAAAATGCAACAAATATTAATTTTTATTATGCAAACATTGCTTTAATTACATTATTTTTGCGTATAGTCGAGCAGACAAACCAACTTGACGTGTGTCTATGTATGTGTGTGTCTGTGTTTGTGTGTGCTTGTGTGTGGTTAACTACCTCCCGCCACACTCAACTCGCCCTTCTCGCCACTCTGTGTGTGTATGATCAATCACTGGAAAATTGGATTTTCATATGGGCCGCACTGGTGTGGCGTTTATGCAATTTCCAGTAGTCCTCGCTGCAGCCTTATGGCTGCAAAAATCAATCGGTTGCCAATGTGGAAACGCACTTTCCCCGCCCTGCCTCAGGCAACTCCACCACCCGCCACCCCCGCTTGACAAGCACAAACACAAACTTAATCAGCAGCCATGAATTGGTCAATAATTTTTAAATACAAATCAAGTGTTAACTGCGGCGCTTCATGCCCAACATCAATGGGCAATTTCAGCGTGGTGGTAAGGGTGGGGGGGTCTAGGGGGTAGAAACGAGGCTCGAAAAGCTGTTTGCGAAACGGTTTAAAAAATCATAAAATTATGTATGCAGCTCTTGTGGGGTTCATAAGTTCTCTTCAAATGTTACACATTGAGTATCGAGTAGCTGCTTTATGGCAGAAATGAAAATATAAATAAAAATCTGGTGAAAGTTAAAGGCTGTTATTAAGATAAGCTTTATAATACTCATAGTATGTTACTTGATTATTATTATTATTAATTTAATTTAGCTTAACTTATCTTTTACTTCCTAGAAGAAGTATCTGGAAAAAGTCTTGTAGTCATAGAATATTTCTTGAAAGGTTTATTTCATGTTTTAAATATAGCTTATCTTATGTTATACTCATCGACCGTGTTTTTTATGTACTTATTTAGTTATTTAATATAGCTTAACTTACCTTATTCAATAGAAATATCTGGTGTAGGTTAAAGCCTGCTATAAGCAGGCATGTTCATTCAGCATGTTTATTGAAAGATTTATTTATTTGGATAATTTAGCTTAACTTAACTTTACTCAAAATAAACATCTTGTGAAAATTGGGGCCTGGAATTAATAATCTCTCTTATACTCATATAATGTTTTTCAAACGAGTTATTTATTTATTTTATTGTATTTTGATTGGAAATATAAACAATATAAAATGTGGCTTATAAATATAAAAGATTATAATAATATATAAATAAAGTAATATTTAATTAATGGAATATATATAATAAAAATTAAAACATAAATATTTAATTGACTGAAACAAAAAAATAAATTGCGCATAAAAATTTAAATAACTCAAATTAAAAGTAAGCAAAGAGTGAATATTAATTGGAGTAAATTAAGCGAGAAATTGAGTTCTTCAATATTTATTTTACAAAATAATTTATGATTCTTTTTATTAAATGAATCCAAATTTGTACATCTAGAACTTTTTGGATTAAACTTTTTATTTTAATTGTCAATGCAATTAACTCTCCTCTCTCGCTCTCTATCTCTCTCTCTCTGTCTCTGTCTGTCTCTGTCTGTCTCTCTCTCTCTCTCTCTCCCTGTCTCTCTCTCTCTATCTATCTCTCTCTCTCTCTTCCTCTCTCTCAATCTCTCAAACATTCTTTCTTCCTCTCTTATACTTAAGCCCCATAGACTGTTCCATGAGAAATTCTAAAATAATATTCCAATCACTAACCGATGTTTGTCCCTCAAACACGTTCCAGACTTATAACCATATCGAACGTCATTCATTTGTCTTCTGGCCAAAACTTTGAATCACTAAAACCGCAAATGCCTCGTAACGCTCCGCACACATTTTGACACTCAAGCAGATACTGTATTCAGCCGGAACCCTTTTTGCCGGCTCAAACCATTTTGGCAATCAATATAAACAGACACAGAGCTATACATATGAAGATATTCTACAGTTTTTGCATGGTTTTTTTTCGTTTTTCGGTTTGCCATTTTTTCGTTTTTGGCAACCAAATCCATCGTCTCGTCCGGCTGTGGCCATGGGCTATGGGCTGCCTGGCGGAAATTCGATTTATTTTCATCAATATTCAATGTCAATGCAACATCTTCGTGGCCAAAACCAAAAAGCGTACATCAGGCATGTCGAGAGCCAACAGCAATTGCAACAGCAGCAGGGGGAGCGGGTGCCATGAGGTTAGAGGGGCGCCATGGAAATGGACTTTGTGGCTTGCAACTTTTTGGGGGTTTTCCTATTAAAATTTGATGCGCACGTTGTCGTTGTCTCATGTCGCAGCTACTTCACCCCTCCCTCTCCCTCGCTCTCTCTCTCTCTCGCTCTCTCCCTCTTACTCTCCCTCTAGCAGGTGGCATTGCCAGTCACACACACACTTGACGCTTTACCATTGCATATTTAAACAAATTTATTTGCAATTTAGTGTTTGCGGTCTCTGAACATTTTCCATTTGAAATGGGCATTGCCGAAGAGCAGAAGTGGGAGTCCTTCACCTCTGTTTGTGCTCTGCAGTGTCTGGCTGGCGGCAGCCTTTAAAGTGGCGCGCGAAAATTAATTAAAATTTTTTGAATTTATTGACAAATTTGTCAAATTTATTTCGATGGGCCAAACAACTAGTTGCATACAAATCATATTTACGCTGCAGTTGAGCTTGATTGTTGCAAAAGTAACAAATATGTCAAAATATTACAACGTTTGCCAAAAGCACTTGTTAAAATTGAATTG